CCACAGCTCTGCGCCCACGGAATGACCTAGAACGATTTGTGTTCAATCTCCCTCACTTGTCCACAGGCAAGGCATCTTCTACCCTAAGAACAAGTGTCCACTTATCGTACAGGCAGCAATCAGCAGCTTCAGAGACTGTCAAACCCTCGACTAACCACAAGATCTAAGCACCAGCTCATTAGCACCTTGGATTGTGGCGAGATCGATGTTTACGCTTACATTAATCATCGAGCGTTTATCCTGCTCGGTTTGGTGCCAGCGTGAGGGTGAAACCAATTGCAGCTACTTATTGAATGTACTTAATGTTACCTAAATGGAACCGTAGACCTTAGATACATTCCATGCTTTGAACAATTCAGGACGGGTCATTAAGAGCAATTCAATCTTACGACGCAACGAAAAGACCTAAGCTATTTGACTTTGAAGAAAAAGCAAAATCTGCCACATTTTTTGGGAAGCAGTAGCCAAAGAAAGAAGGCAGAGCATTTTGGCGTTGGCACGACAACAGTTAGCAACGTCAGTAGACGTAAACATGAGTACTTGGAGCAATATGATAAGGAAAGAAGAGATCTACACTAAAAGAGGTGGTAAACTTCACACGATAAAATCAATGAGGCTAGGCTGCTCTGCTTCAAGAAAATGAGGGCAAATAACGCTCAAATTTCTGGGACGATGCTTGCAAAAACAGAAATTTGGGTTGCAGGTTCTCAGGCTTCTAATGGTTGGTTATAGAAATTTAAACTTCGACATGAAATTGTGCAGTGTTTTGTGTGGGGAATCCATTGAATTGCCTAAAGAGTTTGTTCAGGACTTCAACAAAAAATTTTCCAACGGCGACAGTTTTAAAGCTGATGATTGCGGTCTCTTTATCAGGGAGAAGCCTAACAGAATTTTTGTTAGGAAGGGTGACAAACACAAGAGTGGAGAACATTCCACAGAAGGTTTCACACTTCTGTTGTGCGCTGGATCAAGTGGGGAGAAGCTAAAGACTCTGCCCATTGGTAAATCAACCATACCACGCGCGTTTAGAAACCTAAATCCTGAAAATCTTTCAGTCACCTAGAGAACAAACCGATCTGCGTGGATGACTGCTGCTAAATTTGAGGAGTGGATCGGAATTGTCAACAAAGAAAGAAGAAGAAACCCTTCAATATCCCAACAGCCGACAACTGTCCCAATCACACCCAAATAAAATGTCCCACTTACTTTTCTGCCTCCAAACATGACCTCACTAATTCAACCGTTGAACCAATTTACATATATATATATATATATATATATATATATATATATATATATATATTGCACCACCGAGTTCAGGTCATTCAACGGCCAACTACAAAATTGCATACTAATGATTCTCATGCGGAAAGAACGACATTTGTCACTTCAGTTATTGCCTTGGGTGTTATGCTTTGGATAGTCTCGCTTGGTCTAAAGTTCATGCAGAAATAAAATAATAAAAATAATAATAAGCTAGAAAAGCCGGATTTTTTCAATCTATCGAGTGGATGTCGTCGCCTTATTAGCCATAACATCTCCAGTGGCAAAATTCAAAGGACTAGAATTTAAAGCGTTTGTTAAACTGTATGATGACTTGTAGCTTGCATTAAACCAGACTCAGATGCTATGTTCCAAGGGATACTGACTGCGGTACTCCCGTACGAGGATGTAGCGTTTCAGGATGTGGTGGGTTTCCGCGTGTCAAGCTGTCTCCCCATAAATACCCACAAATGTCTGCTTAACAACACAAAAACAGCAACATTACACAATCCACGGATACCAGTTCTACAGTACAAGGTTTTTCCTTCTCCCCTTTCTCAAGCAGACGGCCCGACAGAACACAATCACAACTAAGACCTCACGTCTACACATTCAAGCAACACAGCCGCAAACCTTCGTATCGACATACACACAAACGTACACAAGTGACCCAATACGTTACTGTTAATCTTGCAAACTTATTGCCCCTATGCCAATTATTCGTGCTGGTATTGCCATGATTATGCCTATTCAGACGTGCCTCGCTACGTCAAAAATATACTAGTTAATTATTTAAGAAGAAGGACTGAGTGACAACGGTTTTGGAAGCACAGAAAACTAAAAGCATTATCTCAGAGGTCTTTTAATACAAATAAAAGCATTTGCTGTGGAAAGATGTGAAAGTATGCTGAGCAGAGTGGTTTCTGTTGAGAGCGCTTTCTCATTCACCTTTGTGATAGGAGAGACACACGGAGATTGACTTCTGATTCAAAGAATGAGTCAACTTGCGAAATACACATTGTGTTTTAATTTCGCATAAAACTTTGTGTATGAATTGTGTTCGAGGTTACCTGAGACCTCCTCTAATGTGTTCAAAACGAGTTTATGTAAAAATAAATTTCATACTATACTAGTCACAATAGGAACGTAGGTTACGCTAAGATTTGGCATACAACGTATGTTGATCAGCACTCTACACTGATCACTTTGGTCCAGTCCCTTCAGTGGTCAACTTTAGTAGGTTCCACTGTAATTTCGTAAGAATAAGACGTCTGGTTATGTTCCCAAATGTATAAATAACTCAGTCAAGTTAATGAACGCATCGACACTCTGTGAATAAGCAACAGTTGGTTCAACCCAAAGCGATATGGCATGCAGGTGCAAGCGGGGCAGCCAATGAGCAGCAGACACAATTGTTCATCCAATGACTGCTAAGGGAACGTGCATTTAGACACAAGGAACCGGTGACGAGGACAGAGCTTTTTACCAGTGTAGATTGTGATGTGGTAACACCACATGTACGGAGCAAGAACTTTCCGGCAACCGATGTTGTATAGTGTTATGCATTGTAACAACTATGTCTTCCTAAATGAGACTTGGAGGATAAGAGTGGATATCGTTCTGAAGGCGTTTCTCACGCTGATATTAAGGTTGCGTAAATAATCCATCTTCACCGGAGTTGAGCGACACCGAATAAACTAACACTGTATCCTAAATCTGGAACCAAATTATCCCAGTTCTTTGATTCTGCTACATATTCCCTGTCAGTTTTCCGCGTCTTTTCTACCCAATTCTGTGTTGGTTGCCTGATGTCCCCGATCTGGCTACCCTACAAATAAATTTTGACAAGCTGTCTACTACTCTAACACCCTCCAGCGCAATTGTTGACTCCAGGAGACTGAATCGTTGCTAGGCATGAACGGGATCCACGGTCCTCGTAGCCGTGCAAGGTTCGGAAAGTGGCTCCATCCAGTGTGGAGCGGACTACGGTCCAGTCACCGCCATGTTTATGGCTGGTACACATGATTCCCAATTTGATAAACAGGAATGCTGCTACTGTGCATGATAACGGAGTGTGGTCCGACTCGGTTGATTAACTGTGGCTCACATCCGCATGACTTCCCGTCCTATTCCTCTGAGTTTGCCCTAGGCATGGGATGTGTGTATGGAGCTGTGGATGGTATTGCACAAGACATCCTAGTCCTTCTGGAGGCACAGGCGTCTTGTGGCTGTACTGCGGAGATCGGAAATAGACAAATCCAGTACTGAACGTCGCCTTTTGTTTTGGGTCTAGTGTACTCAGTCAGCATAGGAAGTTCGGTAAGCATTTGATTTTATTAGTGAAGTCATGGAGGCTGGGGCTGTTTGGAGTAATCTAATACGAGTAACGAGACTCACTGATACCTAAATACTTTTCGCTTGTAGATGTATGTTCATTTGGATGGTAGGTCGCATATTATCGTCTCATTCAGCCATAAGACCACAAAAATGTCAATGAATAAATTCATTGCTGCATTGAAGGGCTAGGAAATGAAGATAACCGACTAACAAAGCGTTACACTGCAAGAACACGATCATCGTAAGAAGCAATTCTCGGCACGGGATGTATGCAAACTCCCTAAGGTAGCCCAAAAAGTTTTTGTGCGTCAAAACTGAATACATTATAATTCTTGCATATAAAGGAGTTTGCCCCACTGTATGAGTCTCGACTAGCCGGACTCAATGAAACTAGGGCACCACGGTTCTGGACGAGTAATGGTTTGTAAACCAATAGCAGTTGGCTCTTGGAAAAAAGGTTCAGATCTGTTAACCTAAAGCTACCTTAGCTAGAAGAATCTAGGTTTCACTGGTTTTTGTTAAGAAACTTTTATGTGCTGTCCTCGATTGTACATGAGTATAATCCTCGTGTTCATTATTCCAAAAGAAAGTAATATTAGCGACCGTTAGTTGGTTGGAATTCTTAGATTATAGTAAGCGCAATGTGCTTTCTCTGGGAACTAGGTTTGCCATTACATAATCACCGAATCCCATTCTTTTATCTGCTATCTTTCATAGGTTTTCTACTCCGCATGAAACACAACAGGATTTTATAGTAAACCTAAAATCTCACTGTTAGTATCGCATTTCATTGGTTCAAGTATATTGTAACCGTCTACTTGTTTGACTCGCTATGGAACCCTCTCACTTGCTCTTCCCCAGCAAGTAGCACTGTTGCGTTACTCACTATTCTTCCTGTTTTTTGATTCCTTGGAACTCTTCACAAGACACGTCGGGTCCAACCGCTGCTATTGTTCTTCATATTCTCGTGCTTGGTGCACTTTTTGTGTGTCTGCTTGCAACTATTAGCTGAATGACACCCCTGAAATGTGCGTTCAGAGCCATTTGGAAATGTCTCTGCAAACAGATACCGTCAGGCATCACCTGATAGCGAAACGCAGTGATGTATCGGTGATTCGCTGACATGCTCAAGTCGCAAGATTCAAGGGAGACTAGGATGACCAACTCACTCCTGCATGGACGCATATACCTAATAACCTACGACTTTAGTAGCCCACATCTGTTTCGTTATATGTGTGCCAAAGCCAGTGGCAGCACTGTATATAGCTAGATTTTCGTTGCACCGAAACTTGTTTACCTTGCTTATGCCGAAACCCCAAGTACTCACAAAACCCTGGTTTGATACACATCAATTGACCCATACAAGTAATCATATGGCTGAGAAAAAAGCCCGACTTTACCTGTTATATCCAGTCTGCTACCGCTTAGCGTTAGTTCCGGTTTTGAATACTTATCATCCAAACGTCGCAGCCGATAGGGTCGCTCACACTCCTTTGTTGTCTTAGTGCATGGCATCTGATCAGAACTAACGGGTTCGTTGACCGGCTTTTCATCCGATGGCTCTCCGGCTGTCTGCTCCGGGATTGTTTGCATTTCGGTGGGAACAGTGGGTATCTCTCTGCTGGTTCGACTAAACAACTTTTGTAGGTTTCCTCTGGCCAGACGGCCACGTTGTCCAGACCGAGCAAAGTTGCAGTCACATGACTTAATATCTGAAGGCTTCAAAAACCGTTTACCTTCATGACACCGCGAACAAAACACGCTGGCTCGGTTGGCATTAACTTGGGAATCGCAGATGAAAAACGCCAGTGTGTTGTTCAAGATGCGTACGCCAGCTTCGGCAACCGGACTGATAGCCAAGTAAAAACGGTTCGTTTCATCTTTGCCAACCAATTCCTCGATTTCTTCTTCATAGTCATCAAACCCCAAGGTTGCCGTTCTTATGCGTTCTCGCGTGTAGCTTTTGGGAGGGGTGGGCGCTTTTGCAACTACTGCAATAAGGAGCAAATCGAGCTTCTGACGACAAATTACAGCGGCTTCAGCGAATGTTAGTCCTTCAAAGGAACACGATAGTCGTGCAGAATAAATTTCCATACTTAACCCGTGCAGGTAATTGGCAACCCAGCTTTGATCTAGTGTAGGCGCTGGAAGTTGCTTCTTGCTCCAGGGAGTCGGATTTTTTGTGGGGGATTCTGAAATTGCATCGGGCGTCACTAAAATTAGCGGTGGTTCCGGGTTGTTGGTATGTTCCATTGGAAATTTTCGTAGTCGTTCGCTGCGAAATATATTCCTTATGAAGTTTGGGCATTTAGATAGGAGACCCCGTTGCTTTGCATCAAAAGCATCGTGCTGGCTGTACGACCGCCTGATTTCACCGGCGCCGTGCAGTGATCTACCGGCTGAAGATCGCTTGTCAAACTCATCGTCTGCTAATTCCATTTTGGCGAATTCTTTGCGCATTTGCAGCGCTTTGTAAACTTCGGAAGCAGCTTTTAGTCCACGTTCCGATTGCATTGAGAATAAATTCGTAAGCAAAGTTGAAAAACCCGGTGCAATACAGCTTTGTGCAAGGAAACCAAGTTTCAGCTCACTGAAACAAATAATTTCATCTCCCCCATCCCAGTTCCAGTACGGGCTATTGAATAAATGGGCCTGTTCAAAGAAACAATATATAGAGCGTTAAATGGCACAACTTTAAGCAGCGATTTGAATAAAGGAGCAGTTGATGGACCGCACAGATTGGCATAATTGACACAACCAACCATGCTTGCTTTAGAATAATTACTTGGTGTGTTAATCTTACCTTTTATTTATGAAGGTTAGGAATAAACAGCGACCAAGATAGTCACTCGCATTGACCATACAGACAGTAAAATGACATAAAACTTGCTATTTCACATACCAATTCCTGCTCTACAAAAGCAGCTGTATTTTTGAGTAGAAACGGTAAGGAGGATTATTGCGCAAACCCCGGATGATAGAATCTTTATTTCAAAAACTGCTCACGGACTGTCCTCCAGTTACTAGCTAACATCACTGAAATTAAGATATTTTACTGATACTTTTCAAAGAGCACTAGACCGCCGTTTCCTTCCAGTCGGACGCGTCATTATTGCTCCTCCTTATGTTCATCTAGGAATCGAATCCATGAGCCACGGAAAACAGAAGTCATTGCTTAGAATTACGAAACAATAAGCCTTAGCTCACAGCATATCAGTGGGTTCTTATTTACCCACAAAGTGCTATTCAGTCACATATTTTTTCTAACTACGCATTTGGACGTTCACGAGAATGGACAGGTTCATCGTAACACTTGGCATAAAGAATTGTCACAGTAAGTGGAGCTATCATCATTTTCCGCAGCGCAGGGCATTGATCCAAAACTCGGTCGATTTAGTCTCATCTAGTTAGGAAATCCATGATTTTAATGTCATACATAAAATGTAGAAGTGTATCGCTGTATTTTGTCCATACTCTGTCAACTTTGCAATTATGACAAACCTTGTAACTGCTGGTTTTATTAAAGTTATCGTACTTTCACTTTTTTCTTCGGATACAGTCAATATCATGTGGAGCAATACGCGCGGTATTTTAATGCGTGTGTATTTTCGCGCTCTTAAGCTGAGTTCAAACTGCGATTATATACGAGATAAAGACGAGAATTTACAGACGGAGCTGCAATTGTGAAAGAAAACGTCAAACAGCGTTGAAGGTTGCTCATCGAGAATAAAAAAATAGGAAGCATGAGCATATCCATCTGGTTTACCTCAAACATCCGTTCATTTTTAATGCGTGCCATAAACTCCAACGTAATACCTGATGCAATAGCAAGTTGCTACGATACCTGGCTGCAGGAGTAGATGCATGGCGCACTAGTTCTGCTACAATGTTTCGACTGTCAAGGGGCCGACTGCAGTTGTTCTCACCGTAATCGTGGTAGTGGAGTCATCATTTACACCAGTGCTTCTTGGTGTGTCTGTGAAAGAAACGAGTTGCTTCTTTGTTCAACCTTTTAGCTACTTATTACTGAAATTCAAGCCGCGATATATCAATGGGTGCTGTTATGTCATACTAACTAACATCTATATCTTTTATACCTGTCCGTTAAACGAAGCAGAGGCATTTTGTAATGAGTTTACTGCGGTTTTGACCGCTGTAGGCCGAGTGATCTGCACGCCTGGCTTGCAACCATAAGGCCACCAGTTCAGTTTCGCGTAGACGCTGGGGGTCCTGGCGGTATATACAGACCACGCGCGAGTGGGGGTGCTTGCGTGGCAGCGAAGCGCCGTTAGGGAATATAGTTGACACACTATTCTTATTTTATTATTACTGCAGCTGTTATCGAACATATCGATTATTCCATATTTGTATTTACTGGGGATTTTAACTGTACCTTACATCATATACCGCCATACCATTTCCAATGCGACTCTGCAACTCGTATTTGTTGACAACGTGGAGCTGTTTTCCGTTTTTAATGGGCGCCGCTTGACAGATATGAGCAACCAATTTAATTTGTGTCCTGTAGTTTACGACAAACCCCAAGTTGCCTGCTCGTTGCAACGATCGCAAGTTCATCTCTCGAAAATGCTTCACACAAATCATAACCACCAAGGAGAAACTGTGTAATACGCCGAATTTCATTTATTTTTTGACAATGATGTTCCCAGGTATGGCTATCATTTGAGAAGTTACCGGAACTTCGGTTTCGACACCAGCTGTCTATGCGAAGCTCTGTTCATATGCCCAGGGAGGTTCCATTCCCCACCCCACCTGAAACGGCTGCGTAAAATATAGCGGTTTAGTAAAGTTTCTCTCTGTCTTTACTAAGGTGACTTGCACTGTGTTCGCAATCTATAAGTTTCCGCTAAAGCTAAAAATATTAGCTATAGTGAGCTCTGGAGGATGTTGGAATAACCAAGCGAGGTTACTCGACGTAAAGCTACCACATGCATAGATGTAAAAACCTGAACTATGACCTCAGTTGCTGTTATAACAATCCAATCACTGATGCACTCATTGAACAGAATAAATTGTCATCATACTTACTGTCTCCTGTTAGCCGTCACATTGGGTACAACTTACTGAAACACCTATACTCAGGGGGAACAATCAGTCTGGTCCAACTATCCTAAGTGTTTCTCAGGGGATGTGCTGACTTCTCGGCCAGACCTGCAGCTACTTTATCTAAACTGTGCAATCAACAAGAGAAAATCGTAGACTAATGCTGAATTACCAGTTTTACACCAATACCACAGAAGTGAGCGAGCAAATATCGATCAACTGCTTGTACTTCCATAGGCCTAACGCCTAACGTAAAAATAACTCTTGAAGAAATGCTGGCGCAAAAGCGATCAAATGCTTCTCCTCAAATTGCCTACCGCAATCCGACGCCACGCCAATCTGTATAGCTTGCTTTGTGTATTCGGTTCTGTCATCGCTGGACGATGGTAATATGTTCAACCGAATCTGTTTTCTGGACCACAACCAGGTATTCTGCTTTGTAAATGATGAATTGTTTTTGCAACATCTAGTTGAAGCTGTACTATAATCTTCTCTCAACTTTCTGTTGGATGGATTATTTTGCTTGTCTTACTCAGCTTACCCGACTTGGAATCAGGAACATCTTGCACTTAATCGCAAACACCGATGTTTTTTAGGGAGCACCCTTCCACCATTTTTTGTTTTCCACTTATGTCAGCTTAATATTAACCCCTGAGGAGGCGATCCTACTGAAGCACGCAGATGGCATTGTCCTTGGATTCAAACAATTAACCGTTGCCTTCTCACCCAGCATACAAGTTATTCTAAAGTTTTGGTCGAAAGTATGCAAACTACCGCTTAACCAGTTGAAGCAAAAGAAGTCGTTTTTTCAATGTGTGGTGGAGATCGGTATCTACAGCTCCTCATGCATTGCCAGAAACTAAACGTCGAAAGCTAGGGTTTGCATTACTAAACATAAGTGAAATACTTAGATGTCATGCTAAAATACGCTTTGTATTGGCCGCATCATTTGAGCGAGATGTTCACCATTGTCAGAAGGTTATAGTTCTATGCCCCACCACTGCGAGCTTCCTCTGTCACACAAGAATTTATGCCTCTGCATCACTGACAGTGTCCTGCCACAATGAGCTTACCACTCTCCGGCGACTTCTTGGTATAATAACATGATTCTCCATCTTAACCTCTAAGCCAATAAAACCCGCTTTCATTTAGTGGTGTGCCAAAGTTAACGTTTGTTGATTTACTTGTACAGCCATGCTAGTTCTTGTATATACTAGCGTCCGTATTACTTACCGACACTTCCTTTGTTGTGTGTCATTGGAATGTGTGTTGACCTCGGCAATTTGACACAGGCAAAAGTCTATATATCCCCGAACACGAGATTACCATTTAATGGTTAATACTTAGCTAGCGCGATGTTGCTAGACCTTAACAACTTTGTCCAAGAAGTAACCACCCAGTTCCAACCATAAGTATATTGTGTTTTCAATTTATAATACTGCATATTCACTTACATTTCTGATAGGATGCATAAATGAAAGCGCGTGTGCATAAAGCAATTTCTTTACTTGATTTAACGAAATCCCCGGGTTATAAGTGCACACCCATATGAGTATGCACCGGTAAATAAAACCATAATTTCGCATATGTTGGTAGAGAATTATTTATTTATTTGGAGGGCCAAGTTTAAACTACACGTTGTGTGATTGGATTGCGACGCGCAATCTCAATGTAATGAACTGTGGTACACATTGAAGTGAACCTTAGTCACGGCGATCACTGGAACCGTACTCAAAGCAAATAGAAATTGGGTGTTGCCCACCCAAAAACACTGCACAATCATGACGCGTTTCGATGTAACTTCATCTCATCAGGTGGAGACAGCAGGCCTCGATCCCGCGACCATTGGAATAGTAGCCGAAACCTCTACCCCTTTGGCTACCGAGTCAAGGTGGGTAACGCTTGGGATCGAGGCCTGCTGTCTCCACCTGATGAGATGAAATTACATCGAAACGCGTCGTGTTTGTGCAGTGTTTTCTGGTGGGCAACACCAGATTTCCATCTACTTTGAATACGGTCCCAGTGATCGCAGTAACTAAGGTTCAATTCAATGTGAATCACAGTCCATTACATTGAGATTGCGCGTCGCAATCCAATCACACAACGTGTAGTTTAAACTTGATCCTCCAATTAGTCATTACCGTTGTGCCAAGCGTTGCCCACCGTGACCCGGTAGCCAAAGGGGTAGTGGTGTGGGCTACTATTCCAATGGTCGCGGGATTGAGGCCTGCTGTCTCCACCTGATGAGAGGAAATTACATCGAAACGCGTCGTGGTTGTGCAGTGTTTTCGGGTGGGCAACGCCAGATTTCCATCTATTCATTTATTTATTTATTCACAAACTTCCCCAAGGTAGACAGGGTTTCCAAGAGTACAAACTTTATCTAACGGAAGTAAAACTCATCGCCACTCACCCCAAACTCTGCTGTTTCACATACTTCTACTAGGTGACCATAACTAAATTTAACTTACAATTTCCTAGTAGCTGTTCCCGAAAACGTGATCTACTTAACAATACAGACAAGTTGCACTTGATTTTCAAACAACTGATTGCAGTCCCTTTAACCAAAATACACTGAGGCACACACC